GCCACGAGGCGTGTGAGGGGTATGCCGAATCGGGCGCGGGTGCGCCAGGCAAACGTTGCCGTGTGGGCCTTCCGGTGGGTTCCTTTGTCGGGCCACGAAAGAGCCGGCCCTGGCCCTCCGGGGGTGGGGGCAGGTCCGACAGTGCTGGGAAGGGCAGCGACGCAGCTCGGCCAAGAGGGAGCACTCGGCCAGACTGAGCTCGGCCAGGCCGGCTTCGGGCCGGGCCGAGCTCGGCTTGGCCGAGCTCGGCCTGGCCGGGTTCGGCCTGGCCGAGTGCCGGCTGGCCGAGCTGTGCCTGGCCGAGGCCTTCCCCTGTCGCTCGGGAGGCCGCCCGGCCCGGGCCGCGCAGGCCAGGAGTCGGCGGCCGACCTCGCGGAGCAGTTCGCGTGGTACCCGACGGTCGAGGCGCCCGGGTCGCCGGACTTCCGCGAGGCCGCGCCGCGCCGACCCGCGCACCGCCGCCTCCGCATCACTGCCTATGGGCCCACCGGAGAGCGTTCTGAGAGCCTTGTGCGGCGTGCACGCAGCATTCCGTGGAACATTTCTGGCGGAGATGGTTTTCTTTTCAGTCGTGGGCTTCTACGCCCTAGGAACATTGCTTCTGAGATCAACACATTCTCTTGTGCCGAGAGCATGTCGTTGTAGGCCTGCAGGAATGCCGGGTCGGGGTCGGTCCTTGTTCTCAAGCCACGGGGAAGAGAACGGAGGTCCTGGAGGGATCTAGGCCTCCCAGATGGGGTCCGAGCAGATAGGGTCGGAGGATCGCGCCGCATCGCAGATGCTGCGGCGAAGCGGCTCGATGTGGAGCTCGGATTTCTCCACGCCGACGGCGCCGCCCCATCGCCGACGTCGCCGATACATCGGCGATGCGGCGCGATCCTCCGACCCCATCCGCTTCGACCCCATCTGGGAGGCCTGTAGGGAGGGAGGGAGGGCGAGGTTCGGTGTTCGAGGAGGGAGGGCGAGGTTCGGTGCTCGAGGGGTCGTGGGGGTGCTTTTCCGCCCTTGCGGCGCCTCCCGTTGCCTCCTCGTCGCCACGGCCAGCTTCCCTTCGAGGAGCGGGCCAGAGCGAGCCGGGGGCAGAGGAGGAGGGTCGCCGTGGCGCAAAAGCACGGGTCCTACATGGCCCCCGAGGCTCTTGCGCCGTGGTCGGGATCCCCGGTGCATCGCCGGGCCTCGAGGCCGTGGGCAAGCGGCTCGGGTGGGAAGGCTGGAGCCCCAGCAGGAGCTCGGGGCCCAGGGCCCGCTTCCACCAGGGCGCCTTGGATCCTTCACGCCGAGCGGTTCGTCCGCTCCGCTCCACCTCGTCGCCGTGGTGCCCTCCCTCCGCCCCTCCCCCCCCAGATTGTAGCTTTGGCAGATGGGCCTCCGGCTCGAGGTGGCTGGCCCGGGCGTCCCAGGTGGGACCCCCGAGGAGGAGGTGGGAGAAGGGGATGAGAAGGTGAGGGAGGAAGAATGGATAAAACATATAGGAGTAACAGTCGACGTGTCAATAAAAATAAGATTCAGCCACGCGCAGAGGGGGGAAGGCTTCTTATCAGGAGCGAGAGAAGGACGTACACGTACATGAATCCAGGCTGTTTCCGAGTTTTCGCATTAGGCGAATATTCGTATCACGTGGCCGGTCTCGCGGGTCAAGGGGCCGTGTTCATGCACATAGTTGGGCGCCTACGTCCTTTATGGGCTCCCTATCTTAGAAGCACGCCTGCTTATTAGAAGGCGCGGGCCTTGTCTGTAGATGTAAGGCCGGCGCCTTCTAATGAGCAGCCTCCTTCTAAGAAGCCTTCCCCCTCCCCATACCCCCCTCTGCACGCCGCCAAAAGATTCAAAATCTTGGTATTAAGCCAAGGCCGGCTCAACCCAACAGTTGGCCATTGCAAAAGGGTCCAGTCACTTCGACAAGTGATTGCCGGCGCGTCGCGGACATGATGTAGGGCGCGCTCGACCGAGTGGAATGAGCAGGACGGCCGTTGCATCCCAAGTCTTGAATCCAGGCTCATCTGTCAATTCCCGTCCGAAGGCAGCGTGGCGTTCACGCTTATGGAAGTTCATTGTGGACGGCGGGGGATCGACAGGTCGCGGCTGCTCGGATGTGTGGAATCTCGTGCGGAGTTAGCACGAGGCTCACAGCGCGCACTGCCTGCGCGCAGAATGGAGAAAGCGACCGCCGCGCTGTCCCACGCGACGCGCGGCACGGCAGGCGAGTAACAAAACAGCACAGACACACACACACACACACACACACTTTCTCTGCCCACACGCACACACAGACACAGACACACAGACAGGCACACAAACACACACACACACACACTTTGACGTCGCGGCCACGCGCGTGGCGGCGCGGGAAAGGCAAGCAACAGAACAGAGCGCGGGCCGGGCGAGCTCAACACACACACACACACACATGCACACAAGCACACGCTGCGCACAGGCGGGGGCGAAGCGGTCGGGGAGCATCAGCGCGGCTTCGCGTGAAGCGCAAGGCTTCGCCGTGTCG